GGCAATTTTGAATTAAAATATTAATGCAAGGATATTTTTGGTATTTTAAAACTTTCCTCCCTCCTCTCTTCTCTCTCCAGCCATCGTCCGCCGGCCACCGTCCTCTGGTGATATTACAATGGTATCACAATGCATCATATATGTGCCTTGGGTATCACATTGATGTCGTTTGTGTGGTCGATCGAAGATGTAACACAGTGATATCACTATGTATCTTATATATGATTAGGTATCACAATGTATCTTTTGTTTAACAGAGTCAATATTTTTAGGTATCACAGTGGTATCATAATAGTATCACCGGAGGACGGTGGCCAGAGAGAGAAGAGAGGAGAGGAGAGTTTTAAAATACCAAAAATATCMTTGCATTAAGATTTTAATTTAAAATTACCAAATTTATAAATTTCCTAATTTATCTATTGATTTGTGGTTAATATTGGTTCTTACAGTTACCACAAACAACTCAGTTCTCCCTTAAATAGGCCCCTATATATATATATATATATATATATATATGTATTCACGTACAAAATCATACATGTTAAAAGTCACATGTGATTTTGTAAATTAACAATTTTTTTTCTTATTTTCTTAAATAGTTAGCATTCTCGTTTGAATTTTCCTCTGAATATATAAAATTTAAGTTCTCTAAATATTTAGTTGATTTGTATTATTCATAACTATTATGTAATATAATAGTGTTCAATATTAATTTAATAGACAATCCAGTTATTTTAACATTTTTGTCCGGTTCATCGGTTCAATGTGTATTACTGAACATTACTATAAAAAGCTTGTCTAGTTCAGTCTTACTTGTACTAAATACAACATAATTATTTAGTTCAATCCAACTTATCTACATACCAACACACCTTAAGGGTAAGTAACGAACGATATGTGTTAATTTGCAAAGAGCCTATTTTACGATAACCCAAAGTAACATTAGCTCATGTTTGGTTCATAAAATTCGATGAAATCTTGAAGAATTAGAATAATCATTCCTTTAAAATCCCATGAATTCCATTTTTGTTGGAATTAAATTCCATTCCATTTATGTTAAAAAGACAATATTACTACTCAAATCATAATAAATATATTTTATTACTATTAAATATTTATTACTATTCATATCCATAAATATTATTATTATTATATTAAATAATAATAATTAAATATTTATTATTAAATATAATATTATAATTATTACCTAATAATAATAAATGTAAATAATCTTTATTACCATTATAATTATTATTATCCCCAAATAATATTACTAATGATAATTTTACAGATGAAATGGTAATTTTGTTACTATTTATAATTAAGGCAATAAATTACAAAAGTTTTCATATATATATATACAACGGTATTTCGAAACAGTTATCTTTAACTCTCTTTTTTTTATTAACCTGGATATCCAACCCGTTATGCAAGCCTACTAATCCCAGAACGACCAACTGCTTTGCAGATAGCTCGGAGTCACCGCATTTGAACCTCCGTGACCACAAGGGGATTTTTATTCCTCCTTGAATCTGAACCTGTGACCTCCTAGTACTTTTGATCTTTGAAGTCAAGCTCAAACCAATCAGGCACCACCCTTGTGGTTTTCTTTAATTCTTTTCAATTCAAAGATACATTCTGCAAACCACTACACATATTTTAATATTTTTGATCGATTTCATTTCAATTTCTACCAACCAAACACAAATATAAACAGGTTCATTTTCAAATCTCTTATTTTCTACGAACCAAACAAGAGCTAAGCAGGTGTCTCAAAAACTTGCCATTTTGTTGCAAAGAGTGTCTATCTCTTAAGTCTTAACTACACCATTGAGAGTAATTGCCACCTCACCCACCGATTGATGAACCCTTGGTAATTCACTGTACAAGTGAGAAATTCCAACTCAAAGCCTCGAGATTATCAATTGCAAATAGCCCCATGCCAATCAGCACAGGCAGTAGCATTTGCTGATGTTAATTTGCATCAATTTTGCTTATATAGCACAGGCTGTTACTCCCATACATATCAAGGTATTATGATATATATATATATATATATATATATGTATGTATGTATATATATATATGCTACTGTTTAACCTTAGTGCCCAGTTTTATTTGACGGAATGTTTTTGAGAAGTTCGGATTTTATGGCAGGGTTTAGTTGAATTCCAATCTTTTACCGGAAATCTTGCTTGGTTTATAGTATTTGGAATATAATTTTTTTTGTAAATATTTGTTTGTTTTATAAAAATTGTTTGAGAGCGATGGAAAGATTATGACAGATTTTATGAACGATGTGGGGGTAGAGATGCGATGGAAACAATTGAAATCCATGGGATTGGGATTTGGATTTGAAATGACAACCATCTGCAAGGGATTTCTAAATCTAGAACTAGGTATATGGAATTGAATGGCTATACATTAAATCTTCTCAAGGGTACTTAGACGCGTTGTCTTACTTGAATTTTGGAATTTCGTTGAATTCCTGGATTCCAAATCCAAACTTTCCTTTAAACCAAATCCATTTTGAATTCCGGCACTTAGAAGATTGATTTCTTCTTTTACTCTGATGGATCCTTAAACTTATAATACTGTTTAAAACATGATTTTCTATGTAGAATTTAAATGCCTATTCATTTTTCCCTTTGAGATTATATCTCTGTTACTGAATAAGTTATTTTCTATATCATTAAACCACTACCGAACAGTAATATATAATGATCAAATAAGCTGTGAGTCCTGTGAAGCTCATTATACTGGTAATAAACAAACCCTAATTCTTATAGGATTCAGTTAAAGCCAAAGTATCCATTGTTTCATACAACATATATTGCCCGTTTATGACAAATTACTTTCAAACTATATATGCATCGTACCGTGCATAATTTGTGTGCAGTTGGGCAAATGAATCTTTCATATCTGAAATCTTGATAGCATCTTAGTCCTAATACTTACCCAACAGAAACTTACCAAAGTGATTTGTGAATTCAGACAACACTCACACGATTTGGAACCGATGAGCCAATCTCGAGCTTATGTTGACCGCTATTTTATGTTTTTATGAAGCTCTCCTGCTTAATTTCTTCAGATGGCACATAAAATCATCAACTTACTATATATTGATGTTGTGATTTGGAGCTGCTTAGATATTGCTAGCTTCATAGGAAGGGCTGAGGGGAGTGGAGATCTTCTGCTTATAGTTTCTTTGTATTCAAGTATCAAGTTGGATTCAGCATCTAGAGGCTGATTTAATTTGCAGATTCGTGGTAATCTTCTACTTCTTCAAATGATGTTTCCTTTTCATTTTATTTGCGTAGTAGCATGGTTGTTTGGTTGGTTTTTCATTAAGTCGTATACGGATAAAGTTGTCTTTATGGATTATTCTGTTTGTATAGATTGAGAAAGTTTATGTTTGAGATAGTTTTTTCATAGATGGAAATAGTGTGTTTTTTTAATGGGAAGAGGTAGGTTTGAAAATAAAACTTGGCATTCTGCATAAAACCTCCCTAGAAGCTTAATGAATAAGTATTTTTTATATCATTAAGTCAGTACCAAACAATCATGTGAAGTTGACTGGATAAACTGTGAGTCTTGTTAGGTTTATTAACCAATGCTATTTTTAACGTATTATGGAAATTCCAATACTTTTTCTCCGATGATGGGGAAAAAATATCTTCAACTTTTGTTTTTCCACATTTCTTTGGGGGAACTTTCTTTTTAGTGTGCACACTTCTCATGAGCCGGAAACAACTACGTAGAGGTCAAATTTACGTATATACCGTCCCATACCCAGTTCCAAGGCTCATTTAGTTTGGTTTGATGGGAAAAAGTTCCATGTTTATGAATTGAATCCATAAGTTCTCATTGTTCCTCTTAAATAACTGAAGGCTTTCGTAGACATTTAACAAATAGTCGGGCATTTTACGTGCATTGTGCATCAAGTAACTCGTTGTAATCTTCATGTGACGTAGCTAGAGATCTTGGGAGTCTAACTGAGATGGAACTTCCATCTATAGTCGTTGTGTCACGTTGATTAAAGAATCAATACAGTGTTTTTACGCTTCATCTGTTTCATAAAAATTGCAACGGTTCACAGTAATAGTAGCTTACCTTTTGCGACAAATTTTTCTAAGCTAAAATTAAGGGGATGTTTGGATATGCGTTTAGATTGATTATTGCAACATGTAGTGACAATAATATGTTTGACCAAACTGATTATAACTATGATTATTTGAATAATCATATTTGGATATTCACATGTGAATAGTACATTATTTGGATATTCTCATGTGAATACTACATTATTTGGATATTCACATGTGAATACTACTTATGGTATGTAAATTCAGTCTAAATTTCTCAGTATTTTGTAGTTAACATATATGGTGGTTGGATTTCATTTAAGGTCACTTTGTCAGTTCAAAATGGAAGGAAGCTCAAGATCTCAAGGTTCAATGAAACCTCATTACCAGTATACGTACCAACCTTTGGTCCAAAACCAGCCATTAGAAGGCGAACCTTCGTCAAACAAATTCACCGGGTCCACATTGAACAACCGCAGTGAACCGAGGAACGTACACGGGAATTTCTCGAAATGGACGGATGAAACAGCGAGGCTTCTGATCATCGCTGTTTCTTATGTAATGGAGGCTGCAGTGTCTGAACTTGATGATGATAGTACCAGGTGGAAGGCTATTTCAACTGCGATGATCGAAAGGGGATGCAACGTATCGCCTCAACAATGTGAGGAGAAGTTCGGTGAAATCAAGAAAAAATACAAGCAAATGATCGACATTCTTGGACGTGCCATGAGCTGCAATGTCGTTGAAAACCCGATCCTTTTGGACTCCATAGAAATTCCTGAAAGACAGAAAGAGGAGGTTAGGCGGCTTATGAGCTCGGACCAATTTCTTTATCGTGAAATGTGTTCACTTCGTAGCGGGAATCGCTTGTTTCTTCCTCATGATTGGGAGCTTCGTAGGTCCGTGTTCTTTAGCCTTACAGGTAACCATGGCGAACAACATACAGACCAAGAAGGAATCCCGAATGAATGTAGAGTTTTAAAGGCTCGTTGGATTCGGTTGGAAGAGAAGAAGTTAGAGATGCAGCAGGAGAGACTGCAGTTTGAGAAAGAGAGGTTCGATTGGCTGCGGTTTAACCATAACGAAGAGTTGAAGCTGGAGAAGATGAGATTGGAAAACGAGAGGCTGAAGCTCAAGAATGCGCGTTTGGCTTTAGAACTGAAGCACCGAGAAACGGCCACCCATGACGAGAACAACTAAGTTGACTCGGGTTTCAGATTGGCATCACTACAACAAAATCGGGTTTATTGGACTTCAAAGAGGTATAAGTGTCCCAATAGATTGTTTTATAAGATTTAAGTTTATAGGACCAAATGATAAAACGTCATGTATAAAAGTGTTGCAATAAGTTTATAAGACGTTTTTAGGCATCTTAAATAGTTTTTTAAAACATTTAGAAAAGACATGGTATTAACTATTTTATAAGACAATATTTGAAAAGATATCTTATAAAATCAAACGTCCTATAAAAAGATGTTTATAGGACATTTCTCAAAAGTTTCTATAAAATAGCTAATACGACGCTTTAATTTTAAAAACTTCTCAAAAACTTGTTAAAGACGCTTAAAAGCATCATATAAACTTATGACAACACTTTTCAATATAACTCTTTATCGTTTAGTCCTAGAAACTTAAGACTTATAAAACAATCTATTAAGACACTTTAAACATTGTTGGTGTCCTATAAACTCGATTTTGTTGTAGTGCATGCCTTATTAAGGTACTAAAAATACTTTCTTCAGAAGTATATGACTGAATGTTGAACAGTTGAATTATTGTTTTCTTGTTCTGTTGATTTTTTAAGTTAGAATATGCCCTATTGGTTAGACCCTATCTTCGGGTGCGATATGATGGGTCTGTTTTGTTTGGTTTGAATGTGAGTCTATTGTTGATTAATTAGACCGTACTTTTGAGTGGGATACACCATGTTTGTGTGTTTGGTTTGAGTGCGAGTATTTTGAACCTAGTGGCTTTGGTATTTTCCCATTGTACCTAAATGCAGTCGGAGGTATCCTCACGGCCGCTCAAGCCTTTTTAGAGTCACAGGACATTTTATTGGTTGTCATGATTACGGCTCGATATGATTAGTGAGGTGCGCACAAACTGAACTAGACATCCATGATTTCTATAAGAAAACCATGTGGGGAGGTACCCTTGTTTCTATGTGTGGATGGATCCTATGTTTGGCGTGTTTTCATAAGACCATGGCTCGTGGACGTGATCGAAAGGAATGGACCAACTAGTTGAAATAGTCAAAGACTCTGAGTACTCAAGATTCGAAGACCCTGAGTACTCAAGATTCGAAGACTCAATGGTGAATTAACGAGCACCATGGGAGAAGATTGTTTACAGATGGTGATAAGATAGTAGTGTTTGAGTTAGACTGAGTTGAAAACATTTAAACAACCCAATTTAGTATTTGTGGTTTAAAAAATATAAATCCAAGCAAAACTACAATCCAACCCAATCCAAATTGTGCAGGATGGGTTGGATTAGCCGGGTTGAAGTTTGGTACATCATTTTATAATCTAGCTAAGCGTTTTGTTTGAACTAAAGGAGTGTTTGGGATTGCTTATAAAAATAACTTATTGACTTAATCTGGTGTAGCACCGGTAATAAACTCTTTTGAGTGTTTGGATAAACAACTTATACTGGTGCCAAACCGGTAATAAGGAGTTTTTGAAAAAGTTACAATTCTAACTTATTATAAGTTGATAAGGACTTTTATAGAAAAGAATAAGTTGTTTCAAGTAAGCAATCCCAAAATCAAAATGAGAACATACAAAAAAGGCTAACAAACTCAAAAAAAAGTTGAAAGTTCATGCAAATAAGAAAACTAAATTACGATTGAAATTGTAATACAATTTTGATGTTAATTACGGGTTGGTCTAATGTGTACATATATTAATTAAGCACTTAACAATCATATTAAATCCGTATTATAGAAATGCATCGAGTTCATCGGGTTTAGTTGATTCAAATTACCTAACCCAATAGATACATGTTTGACCTAATTTTATATCAATTATGTGTTGGGATACATCGGGTTACTGTAAAATAGTATAGGATAGGTCAAGGAAAAGATGAAACACATGTTTTGTTTAAATTCAGCTTAATGTATGTTTATATATAATTATATATATATATATATATATATATATATATATATATATTAA